AGTAGAAGAAGTCGGTAGGGGAAGAAGAGTGTTTCTACTCAGGTTTCCATAAGAACACATAATTGGAAATCATGTAGCTGCGTAGAAATACATAAGCTCACAATTATAATTTGTAATTTATTTTGTGCGTGCATTTGTATTGACTAATGAAGTTGTCAACCTTTAACAACGTAATTGATGGACATGGATAAAGAAATACATGAAAGTCATGTTTGAAAGATTGTTAATAATTTTTTTAAGGTATTTTTTTTGTTTAAAAATATATTAAAATAATATTTTTTTTATTTTTTATAAATATATCATAACAATATAAAAAAATAAAAAAATTATTTGAACCATATTTCTAAACGGCATCAAAATTGATTAATATTCTTTTTGTATGTATATTTCATAATATACTAAGATTTTAGTCATTTTTCTTCATTACATGTATTTCCTTACTCCAATAAACCCTAATTAACATCAATTTTAGAAGAAGTTTCCTTACATGAAAATCTCAAGAATTCAAAAACAAATTACTCTCCAGCTATTTCAGAAAAAGGGTCTTGTCTTGTCTTGGCAATGGTGTTTTACTCAAGATCTTGACATAATATTATTTGTAAAGGCACTTATAATTCGTGGGCCACCTTGGTATATATTAACCAGCCAATAATTTACAAAACCCTAATATTCTATCAAGAGGATTGCTTGGTTTAGTGTAACAACTGCCATTAGAAAGCGATATGTTTTGCCCATAGGGGGTGAAGATGACCGATGAAACATCCATCATTTCATAGCATGGAGCTATAGCCATTAAAGTGTTGACTATTAGCTCCCGAGGACCAGGAACCTGCTTCTTGTATTAGTGAACACAGAGACGAAGCATCAAATTATTAAAGCATCAATTCACATACCTTTGATAAGAAATCTGTGGGCAAATCCACATATATGAACCATGAATTGTGTGACCTCACCATTCCTAGAATGAGTAAAAACAAATTCAAAATTAGATTTTAGAGGTTAAATTATTTTTTTTTCTGTTATTAGAGATGACTAAAAAAATAAACTAAAAAACAACAAGTCATCCTTATTTTATTAAAAAAAAACATAATTAAACATGAATGCATGTTCTTCTAGGTCTGGATTTTTTTCAAGTTTATTTTTATTGTATAGTTGTATAAGAATAATCAAGATATTTGTATTTGTTTCTTGATTAAAAATTACTTTACATATTATAATAGTTTTGTTACGAAGAATCAATTTTCTAGAATGAAAAAAAAATTGAAATTAGATTTTAGAGATTAAAAAACTTGGACCGTATTTTTTTATTATCAAATACAAATAAAAAATGAATGAATAATAAAAAGATAGTTTTTTTGTTATTTTAATTGTTTTAAGTTTGTATTTAAAAAAAAATGTGAGGTTGATAAAAAAAAGAGAGAGAGAAGTCATTTCTATGTCAAATTTTTAAAAAATGTGTAAATAAGAGCATAAATTTTTAATAGAATAAATACAATTTTTACTATATAATTTCAATTATTCAATTTCTTTAAAGTAATTACTTTAATATTTATAAAATTAAATAAAAATAGATTCCAAAAACGGTACCGTGCCGGTGGCGTCAACAAAATGAACTAGCAACCATAATTTCATAGCACACACTTCACTGGGGAGTCTCTCCGTTTTTCGAGTAGCACCAAAAATGTCATGGTTTTTTTAGGTTAATAATAAAAATATTTCTGGATTAATTTCTACATTACTCAAATTTAAACTCTGTCTGCCCGATTTTAATAACACACCATTTACATCCCCATGATATAATTAAAAAATATAAAAAATATTTCTAAATACTAGTCTTACTATTTAAATTTAAAAAATCAAAGAAATAAGTATAACTTTGACATCAATTTCTTAATTTTTTTTTTTAAAAAAAAACCCATCAACTTCTATAACTAGTCAAGTCCATGTGGGTTTGATATTATATTTTAAAAATAATTTTTAAAAAATAATTTTTTAATGGAATTTTGTATAGAAATTAATTCAAAGAATGTTTAATTATCTTTTCAAAGTAAAATAATACTGAATTCATTTAATTAATATATATCTATACGTCCAACAACTATATTTTATAAAGTCATTTTTTTCAACAATTTATAATCATAAAACCCTCACGTTGGAGAAAACGCAACTTTAATTAATAATTGCCAAGACTTCATTTATATATATATATATATATATATATATATAGCAATTCTATTCCGGCTGTGGATAAGATGGGTATGTTAATTTGAGACTGATTACTTACTCTAGCAAAAGACAGAAATGATCAGTTCCTATCATGATCATCTTATATCACGCATGCCCCTGGTTTTTTATTTATTTATTATTATTTCTTTGTTTATTTCATTATTTAAATATCACATGAGAACATAATTCCAAAATTAATTTGGTATAGCTAGGTTCAAACAAAAAAGACACACATATATATTCTAGACTAATTAAGTATAACTTTGGCATCAATCCCTTAATTTTTTTTAAAAAAAAACCCATCAACTTCTATAATTACTCAAGTACATAAGAATTTAAAATTTATTTAGTAATGTAGTTATAATTGTTTTTCAAATAATTTTTCATTCTAAAATATATATTAATAATTACTTTTATCTTTTAAAAATTATTTTTTATATCAAAACATCAAAATTTTAAAACACGAAAAATATATTAATTTAAATAAATAAAAAGTAAAATATTTTTTATTTTTTTGAAATATTTTTAAATATAAAAACAAACTATCTGTATTATTATAAGCAGGCGGCTTTTGTTGTCAGCAAGTGTTCAATGTCAAAGTAAAATATGCTTGCTATTTTTTTTAAAAAAAAGAAATGTATGTAAATAAAGCTACCAATTCATGAAAAAAAACAAAAAAAAAACTATAATGTTAAATACAAAGGGAAATCTTCATTTTTCAAGGGAATATTTGGATGGTAAGTGGACCTATATTCTGTATTGGTATTTATGCTAGTATTTAAAGAAAAATGATGTGTTAATTTGAAATTAAATAGTATTCAAATTCATGAGATTTACGGAAAGCAGTGTGGGACAAAAGTTGCAAAAATCCGGACGGACCACCACTGTCCAAGAAAAAAGCAGCTAAAAAATGGATTAATTAATATAGTCAGAATGATAGATTAGACATGTATATTTAAAGATAAAATTGAGTCAATTAATTAAAAAAAATAAAAACATATTGAAGAGTTATATTATTGTATAAGAATATACTAAACAGTGAATCACAGATCTACAAGTCAGATTTTTATTATATTTATATTTCATCAATTATTTTAGATATACACATCTTAATTATTGAGTTTTAAATATTCATTGAGATATTTATTACCTAAGTTCTATTTATTGTTCAATAAAATTATTATACTTTTCACATCCACGTATATTTAAAGATTCTATATAAGCACTATAGAGTAAATGAGAAGGTGAAGATCGATTAAATGGATCTTATATTTAATTTTTTTGTTGCTATAAACTGGGAAATGTCTTATATTTAAAGATTCTGTATAAGTGAAAATTGATTCTTGTAATGTAAAACAAATTTGCAAGAAAATACTTCAGAGGAAGTGGATTTGCTAATTGGATCCAATAAGAAGATCAAGATGGATATAGGTAAACAACTAATGAAGGACGGAATTTCAGAAGCACAGAAGGGTGTCAGTGGATATGGAGGAGGTTTAGTTATAAAAATTTACTTGTGGGAGCTGTTTACTTAGACCAAATGATGCTGGAGGTATCTCGGCTGGAATCCATATCAAATGGTGAGGAGGGTTGTGGAGAGGAGGACTCCCCGTTGATTAAGTTATCCGTGGAGGAAAAGAGAAGTATTACTAATTTGGAGTAGGTAGCAGGTTGGGTTGTGATTGTTTCAGGTTGTTGGATGAGGTAGATGGATTTTTGTAGTTGATCGGGTTAATACTAATTTTGGCCTAGGTAGGCTATGGGGTGTTTGTTTTAAAAGATTTAAGGTGACTTTGATATGTCTTTTCCTAGGTTAGGGTGTTATCTTACAATCTTGTCAAATCTTGTCAGGTTGTATGCTTGCTTCAACTCCTTGAGCTCAAACATCTTGACTAAGTTTTTGATCTTTGCTTCCAACCTCCTAAGAAAAACACCATAGCTTGCTTGTCAGCTCTGTTTATAAGATATCAAAGCTTCTAATATAGGTTTCCAGGTCACCTAGTTGCCTTGAATCCGTGAGCTCTTTCAAAGGGTCTTTCAGCCTCATTTATATAACCACTCATAAACATCGTCACCCTCAAACATAGGTAGGTAAGTCCCTTCTAGGTTTGTGTCTCCTAGAGTTATTGAACTGGCCTTCATAGGGCCAGCGCGATCTGGTCATAAATTCTTCCTGATTGGATGTTTGATTGTTTTGTCTTGTGCTAAAGTCTCCAGCATTAGACTATAACTTCTGTAACAAGGTACCCTGTTGGTGAGAGAGTCCGCTAACAAGCTCTCTGAGTTCTTCAATCTTGGTATCTCGTACTGACTTAGTGGTATGTGGTTAGTGTCCATAGGTCTCCAATAACTTCTAACTTGTTCATGCCTTTGTGGTTGTTTCTTGTTTGCAACTTCCATAGACTCCTCCAGCTTCCTGATCTCTTGAGATCTTATGTCTGGTGCCATATTGAAATTCCAAGAATCGAAAGCTCTGATACAAGTTATAACGATGGTTACCAAAATAGTTTCACAATTAAGCAATGCAGACAGGATTGAATTGTAGGTGTGCGTAATTTTAATGATTTGCTGAAATAATGACGAAAAGAAAGAAAGAATAAATTGAGAGAGAAGAATCAATTGCATTCATTCATTGAGTTTTTTGCATGCCAAACAATATGTTACAATAGATTCATAAAAGCTGCAACATTCTAGAATTAGCTTCTCTCTAGACGTGGATAGCAAACAACAAAAATAACTAGCTGATGATTGAGTACAAAACGCAGTGCATGGATACAAGGGGATCTCAGTTTGGTCGATTCGAGAAACGACCTTTTTCTAGCCAAATTTTCTAACGTGGATGACAGAGATTTTGCACTGTTTGGAGTGCCTTGGATGATAGCAGATCACTACCTTACGGCGCGACAATGGCATCTGAGTTTTGATCCGTTTGAAGCAACCATCGAGAAGGTAGCGGTATGGGTGAGACTTCCAGATTTGGAGATGGAATATTATGATAACTCGGTATTATGGAAAATTGGGAATCACATTGACCGGAATTAAAAGATTGATCGAACAACTTCGATTGGCTCGAGAGGTAATTATGCTAGGACTTGTGTGGAGGTTGATTTGACCAAACCTCTGTTATCAAAATCCAAATTGAGGGGTGGGAGATTAGACAGAGGCCTGGGCAATCGGCAATTCAGATTGAAATTCCCAGAGCTGCAGATCAAAGTTCTTCGGCGTATAAAAGTCTGGTCATCACCCTTTGTTAATTCAGTTTCAGCATAGCAGAGATTTGAGGTAGAGAGGGGATAGACCATCCAGGTTCGAAGCAGCTTGGGTTACACATGAGAAGTTTGGATTATTTATGCAGGAGAATTGGAGAAAGGATTCTGACTTGGTCTTAGCTTTGAAAGACATGACTTGTATAGACTAAAAGCATGCAATAAGGATGTTTTTGGCAACATTTTTAAGCACAGAAAAAAAGAAAAGAAAGAATTTTGGCTAGACTGAGAGGTATTCAGAGAGTGCTTCATGGTGGTAGAAATCAGTTTTTGCTAGAATTGGAAAAGCAGTTGGATAAAGAACACAACCAGGCGTTGAGACGAGGAAATTCTTTGGTGTCAAAAATCTCGATGTTAGAGGATTTTGAGTGGGGATAGGAACACCAGTTATTTCCACACGAAAGCCATTACAAGAAGACATAAAAATCAAATTGCTGGCCTGAAGGATGCTGGCAGTCGATGGGTATGGGATGAGGAAAAGCTTCAGTATATGGCCACGGAATCTTGCAGAAAACTACTCACCGAGGAAGGAGGTAATTACAATGGAGATCCTTTCTTTGCTGATTTCCCCAGGACAGATTGTATAAGCAAAGACAGATTGGTGGTTAACTTGACGGCTGAGGAAGTGAGGAAAGCTGTCTTTGACATGAAACCGTTAAAAGCTCCAGGCCCTGGTGGTTTTCAGACCTGTTTTTACCGGTCTCATTGGATTGTGGTGGGACAGGATGTTTTCCAGTTTGTCAGATCTATTTTCAACAATGAGCAGGATTCATCAAGGATGAGTCATTTGAATTTAGTCTTAATCCCTAAGATGCCGAAGCCTGAATTCCTTTATTAATCCAGATCAATTGGCTTCTGCAACATTACCAGAACTGAATCCTTTCAACTCGAGCCTTGCTTCAGGTCAATCTTCAAGTCAGGTTTCATAACTATATGATATAACTAGTATAAAATAGATGGAAAAAAGTTGATATTGGATTAATATATGTTAACATTTTTCTCAAATTTGGAAATAGATTTTACAATATCTGTTCTTCATTTAAAATTAAGATTAATCGAGCTCTAAGATTACTGCTAAATATTGTTAAAAAACAACACTGCTAAATGCTAAACATTTCGTGGCAGCAGGTTCATGTCAGCTCTTCATACCAGCATGCTAGAAGAAGTTGTTGCCAGGTTATTGAAATTGATGGTTTGTAGGCATATCTTGTATGCTCCACGCGACAGAAATATTTTCATCCTTTTCAGAGCACAACTTACAGATCAATTTTAGAAATGCAGAAATTAAAGAGGGCTCAAAAGTCACAGGTCTTTGCTAGTTGACTGCTCTCAATACTTCAAATCAAAGCTTATCTGGTTCGAAAGTAGCATTTGCGTAGAAGCCATTTCGTGTTTGAGCAGACAAGGTATCGGGCTTTTCCTGATGAAAAAAGGAAAAAGGACCTTGTAAGCTAAAATCTACAACACACCATGTCCACATGTGCTAGAAAGCGTACTCTATTTTGACTTTAGCTTGTTTACTGGATTCTATTGAAGCATCAGATTCCTTACTCTAAAGCTAATACCAAAGAGAGAAGGAAATAATATTCTTTTTTATAAAAATAAAATAGAAAACTTGTGTTGTTAAGGGCATTTTTTGAATATTATTTCTCAGATCAATTCAAAATTCCTACAGCAAATTAGACAATCTCTCCTCCAATTTTACTTTGATTATTTTTTAGCAATTGAACTCCATTTAGAATTTCAATCAATACCCTTAATATATTCATCGACTTTTATGATTTCGGTTTGAAATATAAGATTACATATTATAGTTTTTTTAAATCCTGAATTTCAAAAAGAAAAATTCAATGCACTATGATCTAGTTGGTAAACGCAGTTACCGTTGAAACCTCTACTCTTGAGATTCTATCCTCCTTGAGCAGTTAAAGCAAAAGGCAGAAAAGGACGGCTGTGCCCATGCAGTAATCAAGTTAAAGCCAGCCGAACCGCAGCACATAGCAAAACCAAATCAATTGTTGGCATCCATATCCATGCTAATTCATGTTCAGCTACAATGATTAGTCTCCACTTGCCTGCAACAAGAAATCTCAACAGAATTTTCTGTCGCTAATGCTTAATCTTCAGGCAAGTTCAAGTGACATCAATTCACATTTACATCTGCAAAATGGTATCAAGGTGTGCGAAGAACATATGAACTACATTTTATTTTAATATAAATACTTACATTCGTCTTCAGCTGAGTGACAAAGATAAGAGATAATTATGACATAAATCACTGCTAACACTAGGGGAATTCAAATTTCGTTCAAATGTACTAAAATCATAATGACATCTCAAATCTAAAACAGACAATGAAATCCATGGTCACCCATGGTCTCGCTTAAACAACAAACTACATCCTCATTTTCACAACAACAATTAGTCCTCCCTAATTCCCTTTACATACTTTTTTGGTTTTTAACTCCTGTCTTGGTTAGAAAGTTTCTTACAAGTCTCTGATCCTGACAATGAGGTTTCTAACATTACGAACAAATTCATGATCCCCGTACATTTCTCCTAACTCTGGAGCAGTTGCTGCAGCGGTTGCGGTTGGGGCTGGGGCTGGAGCTGGGGCTGCTGCTGCTGCTGCTGCTGCGGCTGGGCCTGG